GGCAATGAAGCATAAAAACCATAAATATGGAGGATGACATAATTTCAAATGTGTTTATATCTTAGGGGAGAATGCAAGATGTAGAAGGGTTTGGAAAGATGTTGTTTGGAAAGGTGAGCCAGTGAGCTTGACAGTGGATTGTAGAAAGAATTAGGTCTGCTAAACTTCAGCAATATTTTGATTCCATGGTCACTCAGTGTAGTGATTGATAGCCTACTTATAGCTTGCAAGAATATGCTATTGGCACAGACTGTATTTATTAATAAACAAGCAAAATTTATGCATTGAAAGTGATAGGCACTTTCAATTCTTACCAGCTTTTAGAATTATTACGTGGAATAAGTTTTTAATATTTATTATCATGACTGTGAAGTGGACCCTAAATTGATTAATAGCCAAACTTTTGCAAAACTTTGGCAGGATATTCTTTTGATGATAAACCTTTCATTAACTCTACAGAGATGACAGCTGTACCATAATTCTTTAAGCAGATCAGAAATATATTTTGCTATGCAACAAAAGGTTGAAGATTGAAAGCTCATTTTAATAGGCTATTCCTTTAACCTTGTTTCTCTCAAAAATTGATATTAAAATGCAGTATACCTTTTTTCTTCGACTCCAGATATTAATTATTTTGACAAGCAATAGGGAAATGCCAAGAGTATGTGAGCTGAGAAAAACCAAAGCAATGATGTTTCCAAAGATGCACCTGACAGCTCTTAAGGGGTCTGAAGAAATGAAAGCAGAATTATAAAGAAGATTTCAAGTGTTTTAGAAATAAACTCAGGCAGCTTACAGTTGCAAAGTTCATTAAGTTTATACTGAACTTCTATCCTTTCTGAATGTGAAGTAACTCTCTTTTATCCCATACAACTTAAATTCAATAAACATATTAAAATAGTATGACTATATATTATGGTAAAGTACATTAATTATGGTAATTATGGGTTTATATAATTAGACTTAGTCTTATCATTGGAATCACCATGGCCTGATCTCTAGTCTACAGCATTTTTGCTGGAATGATGAAACTTTAGGCTTGGAGAGTATAGTATTACTCCATCAACATAACTTTTTCTTTGCAAACCCTGTTGGTTTGCATGACAGAGTTTACATTAGTATTTTGTATCATTTTATATCCATTTTATATATTCCTATATAAAACAACTGTAGCTAATTTATTAACTGAAATAAATAAATAGACCACAATATAAAACTACAAAGACATTGAAAAGCTCCTGGGAATTCCTGAAGATTTCACTTAATAATATAGTGAGAATTTTTTTTAACCTATCCTGGGAATTCCTGAAGATTTCACTTAATAATATGGTGAGATTTTTTTTAACATATCTCCATTTCATTGTGATTACAGGAACACCTATCACCATTACAATCACTGCAAAGATTTCTGAATTACATTGATATAAAACAGCCTGTCTTATCCTCCTTGGGATGTCCAGGATAGATCCAGCACACTGTACACTGGGACTTGAAGAAGAAAAAGAGGAAAGAAGAAAAAGAAGGAAGTCCTATCAGACATGCTCATCCTATTTTCCTATGGGATATTTTCAGGTTCCAGAAGTTCTTTCCTTAGAGGTGGATTAGACTGCTCACAAAAGACACTGACTAGGAGGAGGAAGCAAGGGCCGGAGGGAACCCAAACCAAAAGGGTGCTTTTCACCAGTAATACCACTCTCATTGCAACTGCATCCTCCTGTGGTGTTTTCTGGGGTGTCCACTGGGGTAAGATCAGTGTGCTGCTCTTCCTGCCCCCAAGGCTCCACTTCAGAGGTGAAAGCTTACCTCTCATTTTCTTAATGTATTTTAAATAACTGTGGGCCTAAGTAACTCAGGATAAACCGATTTTCTTGTTTAGTCAGACAAAATTTCACCAATTCTGGGAAACTTAGGACTTTTTGTCTCCTTGTATCATGCACTAAGTTAAAATTACCATTAGTTAATTTTCTGAGAAGTGAATTCCAATCCAAGATATGATCAATGTGAATATCAGTTTTCCTGTCTCTGGAATGACCAAATCTCTCCCTTTTAAGGAAATAATTTAACATTTGCATGCAATGATTTTTTTTTGTATTAGTAATATCAATTAAAATATCAAAAATACAGCTGGACATGGAGTTTCATGACTGTGATCTCAGCACTTTGGAGACTGGGGATCACTCTAAGTTAGAAGCCAGTTTAGATTATACAGTGAATATGAGGCCAGCATGAGCCATAGGAGAAACTCCATCTTAAAACAACAATAAGAATGATCTGCCAGACTTGGTGGCATACACCTTTAGTCCCAGCACTCAGGAGGCAAAGCCAGACAGATCTCTGTGAGTTCAAGGCCAGCCTGGTCTACATAGTGAGTTCCAGGACAGCTGGGGCTACAGGGTGTTGGGTAGGTGGCCTCTGAAAAGCTAGACCTGAACAGGGGTGGGTCTAGAGACCTAAGCTGAGAGATAAAAACCTATGAGAATTCATGCCTTTGCAAGTCACCCCCTCCTGGATGTCATAAACTATGCAAAACCCAAATAGAAGCCATTCTGTTGGTTTTGTCAGCCCTGGGACCTCAGAGGGGCACAGGCGTATGGGTCTCCCAAGAAGATGGAAGGGAAAATTTAATGCAACACAGGGAGAACCTGTCTCAAAAAGACCGAAACAAACAAACCAACAAAAAATGGCGTGGTTGCATATTTTAAAATGTGTTTTATGTGTATGAGTGTTTTGCTTACATGTATGTAAGTGCACCATGTGTGTGCAATGTCTTAGAGGCCAGAAGAAGGCATTGGATCCCTTGGAACTGAAGTTGATGCAGTTAACCTTAGGTGGGTGCAGGGAACTGAACTGGGTCCTTTGCAAGAGCAGCCAGTACTCTTAACTGGTGGGCCATCTCTCCAGCTCCTGGTTACAATTTGTTTTCTTGAACAGTTTAACTACAATACATTTATAGCAAGTTGTAGAATTTCCTACTGTTATTTAAAAGACCATAAATGATTAACAGTAACAGAAAGCGATTAATATCTTCTATAAAGTTAAACCCTGAAAAAGATTTAGATAAGAATGATTATCATAAAATTAAAAATGAACAGATATTTACTGGATGAAGAAGGAGAAAATCTTGCTGAGTATTTACATTCACCAGAAAGAATAGGCTGGGAATGGCTTGGTAATTCAGAAAGGATTCTTTATAGTTTAATGCCAGTAATACTGAAGGAAGACTTCTTTCCCCTCTGGCCAAAAGTCAGAATATTTCTACTTCTCCTGTTTATTATAATGCTTAACAAAATATTAATTTAAATTACCATGGACATAAGTTAGTAATACACGTCTTATTGCCCAGTTGACTTTTTATTTGTAGAGACTTTCTTTTTTTCTGGAAGAGAACTCTAATTTAAATTTTTTTTTCATATGATCATTAAGTCACTCATCCTACAAACATTTGGTAAGGATTCATTATGCACCATGGCTTATGGGCAAGGTCCTAAGTTTTCAAGTTTCAAATTAGAGAGGGCAAGAGAATAAATATATAATTGTAGCTAGAGGATAATATGTTCTCTGGCTATAAAAATTAGTGGTGACAGCATTCTCTGAAGAGGTCAGGAGTCTACATAGAAAAGGTGTCTAATATGAATTTTGATGGCTAAGGTTAGTGGGAGACATGGTGGGGAAGACATTTCTGGTAGAGGGAAAATACAGAAATATGAAATATCATGTTACTGAGGAAAATTGAGGTTGGGCTAGAACTGCAGGTAGAGGATGAGATGGGCCATTTGAGAGGCAAACTGTGACCAGACCACGATGCACATGATGCAATACTGCTTAGGCAGCAATCTAGAACAGATGAAAGCCATAGTTGAGTTTTAAGCATGGGACACATTTGAATTTAGAAGTATTCCTCAGCTGGTGTTTTGAAAAATACATTGAAGGGAAAAGAAAGTGAATTACATTTAGTTTGAGGTAAATACTATAACAGGAAAGAAATAATGAGAGTTTAAATGAGGCCAACAACAGTGAGAAAGGAAGATTAACTACAGAAGGTTTCAGGACCAATTGCAGTTGAAAAATGAAGCAGAGGGAAAGTTAGGATGAATTCCTTGCTTGTTTGGAATATTTAAAATCTGTAGCATTACCCAGTTAGAAAATAGAGTGTGGGAAGCTGTAGGAAGAAAAAGTCAAATTTGACTTGGACATGCTGAGCCTGAGATAAGGTATGCCTGTCGCACAGATTGTCATGGAAGCTTTGAGCTTAGGAGAGCAACCCAGGAGTCGATACAGATTTGGTAGTTGTCAGCATATAGGCATTAGCAAAAATTGTGTTGATACCTTTCAAGAAGATTTAGAAAGATGAAAATAGAGTATGATTTATGAGGCGAGGCCCTGTGTTTGGCTTCCTTTTCATCATATATCCAGAATAGAGCTTACCACCAGGTACTTGATGAACTTTTAATATGTGCTTATTCTAGGAGCAAGCCGTTGAGGAGAAGCCAGCAAGGGAGTCATGGGGAGCAGCAAGAGGGGAGGAGCTGCAGTTAGAAACAAAGCCTGGTGCCATGGAAACCCAGTGTGAAGAGTTCTAAGAAAACACGTGTCAGCATTGGCTAATGCTACATTGTAAAGGGGTCAAACAACACAAACGTGTAAAACTAGAACATATACTATTTCTTTACATATAAATTCAAATACATGAATTCCATTTTTACTTACATTTAATAAAATATTGGTAGTTTAACAAATGTCTGATTATGCTTTTGGTAGATAGATTTCTTTTTGCTTAGCCTCAAATTTTCTTTGCAACCCTCCATAGTACATATTTATCAGAATCAACAAATGTGCCCCCAATGAAAATGTCAAGAAGCATAATGATGTTGTGTTGAATGTATTTTAAATTATATAATCAATAAGAATATATATCAATGTAAAAGCAAATCTGGAGCCCCAATGTAAAAACAAATGTTTTCTTTTTTTACTGTGTTACAACCTTGTGAACCAGGTAAAGTATGATTAAGAAATGGAACAGAGGTAGACAGTGGCTGCGTTTGCGGTGGCTGCAAGGCGGGAGAAGCAGAGGCTGCGGCGGCTGGCCTGGCTGAGGCCCCAGCTGCTGGACAGGCAGCAGCGCAGTGGTTTGTTGGGTAAATGGAAAATTGATGATAAGCCTGTACAAACTGATAAATGGGATGGGTCTGCTGTGAAAAACTCTTTGGATTATTCCGCCAAAAAGGTACTCCTGGAAAAGTACAAGTATGTGGAGAATTTTGGTCTGACAGTGGCCTCACCATCTCTACTTCTCCTATTTCTTTGCCATAGTGGCTTTGATTTGGGATTACATGCACCCCTTTCCAGAGTCCAAGCCAGGTTTGTCTTTGTGTATTATATCGTATTTTGTGATGATGAGGATTCTGACCATTTATACCTCGTATAAGGAGAAGAGCATCTTTCTTGTGACCCACAGAAAAGATCCTACAGGGATGGATCCTGATGATATTTGGCAACTATTCTCCAGTCTCAACAGGTTTGATGACAAGTACACCCTGAAGTTGACCTTCATCAATGGGAGAACAAAGCAGCAGCGGGAAGCCGAGTTCACCAAACCCACTGCTAAGCTTTTGACCACAGCGGGACATTGGTCATGGATGCATATGAACCTGAAATATCCAGACTCCATGACAGTCTAGCACAGAAAGAAAAATAAAATAGCCCATTCTAAAAGCAGCTCTCTGTCTGCTGGATCATGCTGAATTACTGGTGGGTAGGGGGAAGAAACAAAAAACTTAAACTGGGTAAAGAATGAAATGCTAAAAATGTCCCTGTTTTTCCCTGAAAATTTAGTCCATTCTGGATAAATAGGATTTCCTAGCACACAAATGAGAAGTTGGAGCTCTGGTGTCTAGCTGTTGCTTCTGGGTCTTCTGATTGTGTTTTTTATTTGCTTTTGGAGATGCGATTTTGCTAAAAGCCATACAGACTTTTCCCTTTGTATTTACTAGACTTTGTATAGCATAGCTTTGTGCCATGCAGCATTTGAACACTCGGCTCTTAAGAACTGTCAGCCTCGCTGGGCACATTAGTGAATGCCTAAAATCCCAGCTCTTGAGAGGCTGAGGAAGGAGGATTATGAGTCTGAGGCCATCCTGAGCCACATAGCAAGACCTTGTCTTGAAGGGGTGGTTGTTTATTTTTCCTGACTTTGTGTTAATCCTTGCTTCAATAACTATTGCCTTGAATTCAGGATACAACTTCTTGTGTATGACAGCTTTCCTTCACACACTGTTTTTGTGGGTGTGTGTATACACACACACACACAAACACATATCTGACTTGGAGAGAATTATTTTGAAAAAGGCAAAACAGCTTTTTAATTTGTTTAAAACAGACCTTCTGCCTGTTACATTTTGTTGCTCTTAACCAATTAAAGCCAGTGGCATTTTTAGTTTTATATTATCTGTTTTCCACTAATATGCTCCTGTTGATTTGTTTATGCCCTTTATTAATTGCTATTTTCTAAATTTTTTTCAATAAAAGAAAAGATATGAAAAAAAAGAAATGGAACAATAATGCTAAAAATCCTTAGCAATGATAACTCCTGACTAAATTTACTTAAGGTTTTGTTCAGTGAAATAAGGACGCTAATTCTGTAGGACAGAGTTAATTTATTCATGTGCTCATCCAACAAATCTGCACACCTACAATGTGTTAAACACTGCTCTGTATGATGGGGCTCAGCAGTAAATAAATTAGATATAGCTCTTTCTCTTTTGGATCTTGAAGTCAAGAGTGATATGAAATTCATATAATTAAATGAAAGTTAACTAATTGAGATTGAAGTAACCCACTGTCAACCAAACAGTGGATACTGAAAGATATAAAAATAGAACCCTGGCCCTCCGTTGCATGAGGGAACTTCATTGAGACTTGAGGTATTCATTCTTGTCTTCTTTGCCCCTTCTTCTATATTCTGTGAGCCTTAGGTGTAGAGGTTGCATTGTAGATGTGCCACTTAGACTTGGGCAATTCACAGACGTGTGTCTGTGACCAGTTATGGTACTCTGTAATAGTCTCTGTTGTAAAAGAAGCTTCTTTTATGAGTGTGACTAGGTTATTTGTCTGTAAATATAAGGATACATATCTTACACTTAGTAAAAAGAAATTACATTAGTCTACAGAGAGATGTGACAGTTTGGGGGTTTTCTTTAAGACTTATGACCTCTCTAGTCATGTGTATTTGCTTATGCTTACAGTACCACACATGCGTTTCCTCCCATTAAGTGGGGTTTTAGTCCAATTGGGTAGCTGTTGATTGCCCCCCAAGATAAAATTGCCATTACTGCACCAGCGTTGTATGCTGTGCAGGTCATTGATGTGATTATTTGGTCTTGAAGCTGGTGTTGGACTATCAATTGATATTCTCCTCTAGCACCTTGCATAGTGCCTTCCAAAGCTATATGCAAGACTAGCTGAGAGTAGGCTTCAGGAAAAGTGGCTTCCAGGTCAGTTTCAGCTCCATTGCTCCAAATCCTTTGTCTGAAGTGTGTTCTGTCTTCAGCAGAAGGGTCTTACCTTGAAGTTCTGGGAAGCAACCAAGAGCTGTGGCAACAGCCTGTGCAATTTTGGGAGTTGTTTGGACCACCCTGGCCAACAACTCAAAGGAAGGTTTCTCTTGTCTGGCACTGTTTCTTGTCATGTAGCCTTTAGCTGTACACATGGACTCATTTAGAGATATTATATGTGTAATTTATCAGGGTCTCAAATGATCAAAATGTAGAGACTAAGAGTCTGCAGAATCCTGGTCCTAGGTCAGGACTCCTATATTAAACTACACCCACCCAGGGCTCAGGGACCATTGGGGAAAAGGGAGCAGAAAGATTGTAAGAGTCAGGGAGGAGGTGCATGACCATATGGAAATAGAGTCCTCTAAGCTCCTGGGACCATGCTCATATGAACCTACAGCAATGGTGTCAGCATGTACAGGACGCATGCAAACTCAAACACAAAAAACCCAGCATAGAACTAGGGAAACGAACAGCTGACTCCAATCTTAGCTGAAGAAATATTGGCAACTGATTACTGCTGGGTAAGAAAGAGCTGATCTTCCTAAAACAAGAGACTAGATAGGCTGACTAAACCTCAGTAAATGAACTTGCACTGAGAGATATCTGGTGATACTAACTTGACACAATAGGCCTTAAGACAAATAACAGAATGTATAAACTCCAGTGGGGGAGCTATGGGAGGGTGCCAGTGGGGAAGGGGGTATAAAGATGATGAAGACTGATTGATATATTCTGTATGAAATATATAAAATTCAATAAAAGGGATAGAAAATAGGGCATTTTATTATATAATGGGACAAACATTTCTTATATGATTTCACAACACTAAAATACATTCCAGTAGACACACAATCATTAGCTTGATGAATTAGGAGTGAACAAGACTGGAGAGATGTGTTCATAGCATTACAGAAGTCTTTCCAGATTGATGAAACAGCATATGTACCTGAAAGCAGGAGTGAACCAACCCTCAGGAGAAATGGAACGCTGAAGGCTTAGGAGGAGTTAGAGAAAAGTGATCCATCGGAAATTGGAGCAATGGCACAGAGAGTCTTAAGACCATATTCAGAGTTTAGTCATCATTCTTATATGAAAGCTGATATATAATTTTTAAACAGATGGGTCACATAAAGTGCTGTGGATTCTTTTAAGCTTCTTCTTTAGTGTTTAAAAAGTGAAACAAAAGCTAGGAAAATAAATAACATACAAAGAAAGAAACTATTTTATTTAGGATTTTGCATTTAAGATCGTTAGCAGCTTACTAATATGAAAAATGGAAATAATGTTAACTCCTTTTAAGGAGGACTAAATATGTAAAGTGTTTAACATAGCCTCCCGTACATTACAGAATCTTAAATGGTATGTTCCTGCCTTGGCAGGAAACAGAGGCTTTCCAAGACTATGACTTTCTGTTATGAGAACACCCTCGAGTCAACTATTAAGGAGGGAAATGTAATATTATAAAAAAGACATTTTAATTGCTATTGGCTCTTTGAGGTGGCTAGAGTACCCAGCCAGGTACATTGACTGAACAGGGATAAATCTGGGAGATAATCGTTTTGTTGTGTGGACTAAGATCTTCACCCAGTGTGTGGATAGTTGTTACTAACTGAAAATACCCCAGATAGGCACAGTGTGTTAAACTCCACCAGTAACTCTGAACACTCTGTTTCACCAGGGTAAACTACTTGAATTCAAAGCATCATAGTGTAAATTTCTAGTATTTTATATCTTGTAGTCCTTGGTTGCTTCAAAATTATATAGATAAAGCAGTTTTGGCAATTAACAATTTTAAGATTTTTTATGATTCAAAAAATAATGTAGCCCAAATGCACATCACACATTAAAATCTATGGTTTTTCTTTTGATTGAAAATGCACTAAAAGGAGACTATTACTTAATGTATTTAGTAGTGATGGTGTTTGGGAGTGAATAAAGCTGACTTCCTGTGAGCTTTCAAGTGACAGTACAAAAAACAGCATAGACCATCTTCTTACCTTCTTTTCTTTGTAAAAGATTAATCTTATTATTTTAATTCTGTGTATGTGTATATCTTTGTGTGGGCATGTATACATGAGTGCAGGTGCCCATGCAAGGCAGAGTCATTGGATCCTCCTGGGATTGGAGTTAGAGGCTCTATGAGCCACCTGATGTGGATGCTAAGAACTAAAATCAGGTCCTCTAAGTGAGCAGCATGTGTACTTAAAAGCTGAGCCATCCCAGCACTTGGGAAGCAGAGGCAGGTGGATCTTTGTGAGTTTGAGGCCAGCCTGGTCTACAAAGAGAGTTCCAGGACAGCTGGGGCTACAGGGAGACTACAGGGTGCTAGGAACTGAACTTGGGTCTTCTTAAGGAAAAGCAAGTGTTTGTAGCCACTGAGTCATCTCTCTAGACCAAGAGATAGTTTGCTAAGATAGCTGAACATCTGTTAAACCAAGTTATTTCCTAGGAAAATAAAGCAATGAAAACAGCATCTATGAGTATTCATTGTTATTTGTTTCAGAGTACAGAATTCTATTTTCGAACAGGCAGTTGTAGGAAACACTCATGGCTGGGTAGTCATCTCTGCTGGAAATTAATCAAAACATGGTCATTAGAGCTCACATTTTGATTATAAGCATCTCAGAAAAAATGTCCCTTTCTGTTGTTTTCCAGGCTGTGAGCTGTTGATGTTTTTGTTTTGCTTATTACCTTGTTCTAACACAGACATATCATGCAGCCCTTAGGACTGACCCTGATATTTGAGTTAATTGGAATTGAACCCAATGGAAATTGCAAAGTTTTCCCACACTATGGGGCTTTTGTACTTTGGAAATCTGAAAAGTAGTTTAAAGAAATAGCTGTAAAGGAAAAGAATGTCACCATCTTAGAGATGTGACTCAGAAAGGTGGTCACCTAAGGGACACACATTTTTGCAAGATGGTTAAAATAGCTTAGATCCAAATGATTTTCATTTTAGCTCATCAAACTGTAGTCTATCAAAAGGAGGAGAGATTTTATTTTATAGACAGTTATATAGTCAGTTTTATTAAGACTTTTCAGCAGTGGAATAATGGAGCAGAAAAGCAAGTTGGAAGACAGCAAGTGACAAATCTATTGATTTCTGTCTCAGTGGATTGACTAGAAACATAAGAATTCAGAC